ACAACGTAAATAGATATATATATATATATATATATATACTGACACATCTTGATGTATATTTATTTATTCATCTCTTCATATATATATATTTGGTTTTACAAAGAGACTTTACAAAGAGACTAGCAGCTGCAAAGACTTTACAAAGAGACTAGCAGCTGCAGCCCAGTGAGATGCTGACCTTACGTTGTCCAGTATCAAGGACTTAGAAAGTGACATTTCATCAAGTTGAGTCAGCTAAGAAGATAAACAGCTGACTTGCCCCAGGTTGTGATGGTAAACGGTTACATAAAGGTTATAAAATTTGCCGAAGGTAAAAATAAAAGTATCAGGTCTGACTCCAGAACACTAAAAGTTGTATCATCTCTTAATAAGAGCTATCTTTCTTAAAGAGACTCTCCCAGGGGTGCTGTTCAAGTAGTTATCTGAATGTCTTGCGTCCTCTGTTGTCTGTCCGTCACTAACCCACTCCTGGTTACTTCTTCTCCTCTGTCCCCACCTCTTCTCTCAATCTGCCTTCTGGTCCCCCACACCTCTCCAGCATCCTGCACTCTCCTCCGCCTCCTCTCCACCTTACAATGCTTACATCCAGCCATTCTAGCCAGCTCTGAATCTTGTAGTTACTCCCTCTCTGTCATCAGTTGCTATCTTTCTGTTTTTACTCCTCGTTCTCTACCTCCCCAATCCCGGCACATTGCTCTGGTTTATTCTTTATCTTCACCTCCCTCTTTCTTCACCCCCCACTTCCTCTCTCTTTCTCACTCCTCTCTTTCCCCTGCAGACTCCACAGAGATCTCCAGTCTCTGAGATCACATGACCATCAGCCCTATCGGTTCCCCGCCACCCCCGATGTCCTCATACCGCCTCGCTCCATTTCCAGCGAAGTCTAGACCAACCGGAGCAACACTCGCCTCGCTGCGCCGCCCATCCATCAGGGCGGCATGCCCGGCTGCACCGGTCGTACTCTACGCAGGTCTAGAAATACGGTGCAACACCCTACTGCCCTCCCAACAACCGGGGAACCGATAGGAAATCTACCGAAGACTTTTTGTCCACTGGACACCCAGTAAATACTGTGAACATTTAGTACAAAAGTCAGGTACATCGTTTTAGTGTTTATTTTTTACTTTTTTTAAATGACATCAATCACAAGAAGCTCACTTTTGGCATGGAACTTTGCAAAGAGAAACACATCAAACTGTGGCACACAGAAACTGTCCACACCTTTTTTGTATGATCAAGTTCGGACTTGATTGCGAGAGGCAGGTGCTGACACATCAAAGTGACGCCAAACTCCCAAGACACAGCTTCAAGGCGTGCCGCAGGGAGGCTGCCAAGTTGGACCAAAGAAATTCACTGCAGGAAATGTGCACTGCTGAGATTTACTCATACATGCAAGCAAGCCATACACAAACCACACAGAATCAGTCATTCTTTATTTCAGTCAGCAGTTTCTGTCATTTTTTCCACCCAGACACACAAGGGTGACCAGGTCCAGTAAATGATGGGAGTATGTTTGTGGGTCAATCTGGGACAAGCTAAATGCTTCAAGGTACTCAAACGTTGATGTTTAACAAAAACCTACAATTGCCACGTTTTGTTGTGGCTTTATTCTTAGGAATTTAATCAAAAATGCTGAGCACATACTGTAACTTACATGATGGATTTTAGGCTGCAGTATGAGAATTCACACAGGCAATATGTTCAGGAAAACACTCAGTGACTTTGTTAGAAACAAAACCATTATATTGAAGACATCTAATACTTGTTCATCCCTAAAATCAACATAATGCTAATTGTTTTCATGCTCTTGTACTTTAGACACTCTAGCGCATTAACCTTCCAACAACAGGTATGTGCACATGACAGGATGTTGGTTTTGAAACAAAACTGTGTTTATTGATCACTTCACATATTTCAATTTAATATTAATTTCCTTTATTTGTATAGGATTAGTATTGTTGAAACACAATTGTCTCAATTGCAAAAGAGTCTACATTCTAAGACAAATCCAAAAACTGCATTTCATATAATGTGCTAGCAAAAAAACATAAAAAAACAAGAAAATGCAAAGAAAAGTCAGGCATGTGGTAAAACAATTACATCAGTCCCTCGTTTATTGCAGGTGTTATGTTCCAAACCTGCCCGCAATAAGTGTAAATCTGTGAAGTAGTGACGTTATATTTATTTTGGTATTTTTATATTTTTTAAGGCTTTATAAACCCTTCTCACACTCTTGCAATGTTCTAAACTCTTAAATCTATGTCATTAGAACAACATCAGAGTCAGAGATTCTTTATTGTCATTTGCATCACATGTGGTACATGTGGTGGAACGAGATTATGTACGCAGGGTCCCAGTTACATCCATCATTAAAATATTTAAAAAAAAAAAAACAGTAATACAATCTGATATGAACTAAGAAAAACATCAACTAAATAATACATTAAGCACTAATAGCATAAAAACATTATGTCGAACAGCAGCACGAACATGAGTCTGTGAGAGCAGATGAGCACAGCAACATGAAACAAATCAGCAGCAACATGAAACAGATCAGCAGCAACATGAAACAGATCAGCAGCAACACAATGTGATTTTTCACAGTGATTATTCTGGTTAGAGATTCATGAGTCTAACAGCCTCAGGGTAGAAGCTGTTCCTCAGTCTAGTGGTTCTACACTTAATGCTCCTTAACCTCCTTCATGAGGGGAGCAAGGCAAAAAGTGTGTGTGCTGGGTGAGTGGGGTCATTCATGATGCAGATCGCCCTCTTCCTGCATCTGGAGGTGTAGATGTCTGTGATGGTGCAGAGACTGACTCCAACAGTCTTCTGTGCAGCCTTCACCACTCTCTGCAAATTCTTTTCTTTCTGCAGCTGTGCAGCCTCCATGCCACATGTTGGAGCACAGGATGCTCTCCACTGCACACCTGTAGAAGGAGATGAAGACTGAACTTCCCAGACCAGCTCGCCTCAGCCGTCTGAGGAAGTAGAGTCTCTACAGTACTTTTTATGTACCATATTTTACTTAGCAGCTCTGCAGAACAGCAGCAGTTCTTGGTTTTGTTCTGACTCTGTTTCTGCAGACATAACCTGCAGCGATGAAGTCCACAATCAATGTTCTAAACTCTTAAAACTACCAATTTTAACAACATATTTATATGTAGCTACAAAATTTTACTCACCACCTCTGCAGAACAGCAGCAGTTCAGTTCTGCTCCAACTGAGTTCTATTTCAGCGGACCTACCCTGCTGGTTCTCGTCAGCTCTCTGGCGAGAGGTAGTGGAGGTGGGCTCTGGATGAAGCGCAGGACCTTCGGCAGTGTGCATCCCACTTGGAAGTCCTCGTGGGCTGACTATCAGCTCTCAAGATTTACTGGTGGGACTGGAGGCCCAGTTCTGTTCTGGTCCGGTGGGTTCCGTGTGGCTCTCTGCATCCACTGGGCGCCTAAGTCACTGTAATAAGTGGCAAACTTTTTCTGATCAGATTGACTGAAATTGACTTGTGACCTGTCCAGGGTGTCCCCCACCTCTCGCACAGTGACTGCTGGACATGGACACCTGTGACCCCTGCGACCCAAAAAGGATGAAGCAGATAATGTGGATGGATGGATGGTGTGTACAAACCTGCAGTGTATTTTGGACCTGATTTTGGCAGGGGTGTGATTTCTAGTAAAAACATGTATATTTCCTCACAGTTCTGTGTCTGAACATTTTCATCAGTTGCAGCTCGGTGAGATTCGACCCTAAACGTCTCTTTGTGGCTGCTTGGACTTTTGAAAACGAGTTAAAAAGTGGAACGTGGTATTTGTTTGTGAAATGAGGGGAAACAAGCTTTTAAAATTCTGTGTGATTCTATACAAGGCAGGACATCTGGTCACCCTAACACACACACACACACACACCTCCTCGTGAGGTTGGATGACATTTATATTTCATATCTCTCAGCAGACAAAAGCAAACAGGAGAAAAGAGCAGACACTTCCACCTGAATATCTTCTTTACAGTTCTTCTCTAATAATTTTGCCACTTTTAAAGAGACACATGAAAACATTAGATGAGACAAAGCCTGACTGACTAAAGGACATCTCTTTCAGGATATTTGTTTTTTTACATTTTGAAGACATTATTTTTGAATCCCTCACTCCCAAAGGAAGTGATATTTTTTTCTACACAGTAAACATGTCTGGTTAATTTTCTAATTTATTTATACTTGCAGTTTTTCGTTGTGTATATTCTGTGTTGTTCCCCGAGCACCACATGTGGTGCGATTTATTTTAATTTTAATTTGCACGACTCCTTCTAATCCAGGTCTATGTTCTTTATTGACAACAGTTAGTGTGCTGCTGGCTGTAATCCCATTACTGTGCTGTGAAATAGTTCCCTCTGCTGGAGGACACACAGACAATAACACAACCAGAACGTTTATATTCCTTAACACTGGGGTTCTTTAATGTTTCAGGTCTTGGGACCCCTTCAAGGGGAGAAATAATTTAAGGAACTCCCTCAAAAACCTCATGCTGATTAAATATCATTTTATTCATTTTTAACCTCTAAATGCCATATTGGAATCTTTTTATTTTTTTGTTGTTCTTCTTTTGCTCCCCATCAGTAATTAGGCACAAGATGGCCGACTTAGCTAAAAGGGGAAAAAATATAACTCAAGCTATTTTAAAAGGTAATGAGCTGAAATTTTGTGTAGTGGTAGATGTGCAACACATTTAGAATTCAAATCTAAAAATCCAAGATGGCCACCAAAGCTAATTTCTAATGGATTTAACACTGAGGGTTTTAGAACTATTACTCTGAAATTTGTTGTATTGGTAGCTGAGAAGAATCCCTAATAGACTGATTGCAAATCAAAAATCCAAAATGGCCACCTGAACTACAAAGGAAAAAACTATAAATCAGCCATTTTAGAGATATTGAGCTGAAATTTGGTGTGGTGATAGATGAGAGTAATGCTCATTAAATACTGCATTTAAACATCCAAGATGGCCACCAAAGCTACATTTAAATGGTTTTAACTCAACTATTTTGACACAGAAAGAGCAGAAATTTGGTGCGGTAACTGAGAGCGTTCCCCATCACGTACTGAACTCAAATCAAAAATCCAAAATGGCCACCATAGCTTAAAATAAAATGACTTCATTGAATCTTTGCCATATTGTGCTGAAATCTGGTGTGGTGGTAGCTGAGAACGAACCCCGACAGTACTGTCAAATCGAAAGCTTCAATCGGCAGCAGCGTGGCAGCCCCCAAAGTTTCTTTAGTTTATTCTACCCAAAGCTATGGCTTACAGACCCCTGGGGGTCCTGGAACCCCAGTTTGAAAACTTCAACATATCCAAAAGCACATTCAAACTCATCTCCTTACACCCTCTTGTTGTCGTCCCCTTACTCTTATTTAATTTCTAACTCTGAATCTTGTTTGTATGATACTGTAAATATCATTTGTTTTTACTGACAGGATCGTTTTTACACATCCACCACAGTGTTGGAACAACTCTTATAAAACATGTTTGTTGGTGCTAAATTACTCTGAACCAATACCGGGGGGAGTTAAAAGAAAAACTCCAAATGACTAAGTTTGGAGCTGCATTTGCTGGGGAGACTATCAAATCCGACTCTGTGCCATCATAACTGTATAAACTGCAGAGCTGTTCAGTGTTGAAATCTCATATTAGGGCTGCTGGACATTTTATCATTTTTATGGCACTTTTATTCCTGCAGCAGGATATAAAGCGAGACGTTTCTGTTGGTGATGCAGTCAGAGGGAGCAGCACAGTTAGGGTGAGCAACGTCACCTGAAATGTCAAAATCAAATCTGATGGGAACATTAATCAGGTGATGAGTGTGGTTTTAAAATCGGAGGCTGCCGGTTGGAAAAG